CACAGTAAGTCCCTTTAGCGACTAACTGACCACTAGCGACTAACTAACCACTAAATGGCAAGTGGTTGCTCGCTAGGAGGTGCCAAGTGAGCAAGCCTTTCCTATTCGGATTTTTTGGTGGTCTCTCTGTCTGTCTTTATTTCCTCCCAGACAGATCTGGTAATGAATTACCGACTTATGAGGAGCGAACTGAGGGAGACTATCTTCGTGAAGTGATTTATCTCTGATGAGTCAGTTTCGCTCAGCGGATGATCATCACTGAAGTTAGCTATGATCAATTTATGACTGTCTATGTGGGAGACGCGATTCTCACCTTCCACAAACCACAGGTGATATACCTGGATATATAGCGATGCGTTTTACATGCTCAGGATGAGAGGCCTCCTGAAGTTTCCCACTACCTGCAGGTGCGAATTAGAATCAGGAGTTCCAAGCTTGGTCAGCGGCCAAAAATCATTGACGCAGCTGCATTTGCCAGAATTGCAAGTATTTGCTGGGCCGAGGCACACTGATTTGGCCCCGTGGGACGTCAAACGAACACTAGAACGACTGGTCACACTTGGTCATAAAAGCTCTGGACTAATGGTGAAGTTCAGCTTGTTCATTGAGCACTGACAGAACGTTGCAGCGCGCTGGAGACTTTGGTGGGTCGCCCGAGCACCTTGATGACTAGCAGGAACACAGGAGATATAAGGGATGAGAAACTCCTATAGACTGAACTCGTTCCGAACTGGGTGAACTCTGCTCCTAAGTGTGGTAAACAACCTCTCTCGATACTTTTTGGCACCACCCAGTATCCACAGTTGAGTGGGCAGAGAAGGCAATACGGGAAACCACTTTGAACATGGGACAACTTCTATACTTCATGCTCTGCCGGAACTCATCAAGAAGACTCAAGAAGACCCCTAAAGTGAGGACAATCAAGGAGTCCTCACGCAAAAGCACGACTGCGGCAGTAGAAATAAAGGTCTTTATCTAGGCCTAGAATGTAAGGGGTTGCGGGAAAGGTGAGCCAACTCCTTTGTACAAGGAGTGGGTGTTGCATTATAGCTAATGCGAGCGCTCCTTTGGATACCCCAACCCCTCTTACGCAACTTGCCTTAAGCGAACATCAAAGTATTAGCGCTCGGAGCCATTTTCCTAAATTTCCGTTTTTTTCTCAAGTTCTCTTTAGTCCAGATCCATCGAACCGCAAAATCTGAACACCTCGAACTCAGTGCCTGAGGTTGGTACGTTTTCATTGCAGAAAATCGCTCTTATTACTAGGATGGTGCGAAAGAAATGCAGGTTGTCCTGCTTGAAATCTCAATCATTCTTAATAATTGATAATCTTGATAATTAATACAACTCAGCTCTAACAAAGTATTAAATCAAAATAATAGCCATGGAAATCAAAGCGTATTTGCCAAGGGAAGGCGAGCTCCTTTATGCCAATATCATAAAAAAAATCTGGAGTTACGGAAGCGATGAACTCATCGGAGGTAGTTTCTATATTATCTTGGCTAATAAAGTGTTTCTCGCGCAAGAGGTTGTCAAGATGTTTGAAAAAATAAAAGTCAGTAGGCGAAAGGTCTGAAGAACATGGTTTATGACCTAGAGTTTCGTAGTTCAACTTCTGCAGCTCCTGCCATGTACTCAGAGACGTGAGGTCTAGCATTGTCATGAAATTGGATTGCCCCTTTTTATCAGTGCAGGGCATATACTTCGCAGTTTCTGTTGCATTTCGTCATGCTCACAGTAATTTTCCGCTGTGGTTCTAGAGGTATAGTGGGTCATACCGTAGACCATCAAACCGTCTTTTTTGGTGAACTTTCGGCTTCGGGTATGTCGTACAGTTTCTTTTTGGTGCAACCACGGGGCAGATCGTCTCCTGTCATCGTAAAGTGATCCATTTGACTCGCGTGTCACAATTTGTTCAACAAACGAACCGTTGGCATTGCCCAAATGATGGACCAACGATATCCCAAAATTTTTCGGCTTTCGTCGAATTGATGCGGAACCCACTTGTCAGAACCTACTCGAAAAGGCATAGAATAGGCTCTCCAACGATGCACAAAATTTCGTGAATCTAGTCTTAGTTCACTAAGAAAAAAATGTCGAAACTAATATAACAAGAAGCCCTGCATTTCTTCTTCACCAACCTAATATTTTCGACACACGGCGTTGAGAGTCGGCTTTCGTATAAACCTGATGCTTTTCTCGTTGTCGCAAAACGAGTGTGTTATGCATGAGACGTGCTGTCTAATTCTAAGCCTAGACTCCAATAGACGTCCCTCCCTGGGGTAGCCATTGTTTTGTGGGACCAGAAATCGCAAAACTGAACATCACTCATCCTTTCAGCGAAAACAACATGGACACTCATCCTTGACAATCATCCCCTCCCTTTTCATACCCTGAAGATATCGTCAGCTCAATCTTTCAATATATTTGGAATGGTGATTACCTCTTGTCACTATCAGTCACGTACATAGCTCAATTTGCTCACTTATATACTATTCATGAAATTAGATCGTAAAGCTATAAAGGCTGTTCTCTGAGCAAGGATACGTCAACAGCTGCTGCTCACTATGAATAATAAATCAAATGACTGCTACAGATATTATAGATGAAGACTGAAAACCAGGTTGAGTGGGTGGGTGGTCGATCCAGGCCCCATTCTGCAAGTTCCTGAAGGAAAATATGGTGTAGCTGGAAAACTGATGTGGACATCCTCTACATGTGGTCTCTTGGAGGCAGGCTCCGTGATCTTCCAGTCGTATAATAGTCTCTCCCCCTTATGTAGGGTGACGTGATTCGCCATCTTTTCTATCATTTCAGGGCTCTTGTGACTCAACAGTAAGGGCACGGGCGCTGTGATCTTGATTCCTCCAGAAACGGCACCCATCAGCTATGGCGCAACCCAGGGATGGACAGTGTAAAGGCATATGGCACGATAAATTGGTACTCGGTCTGAAATGCTAGCAGGGTGCTATATAGTGAAAATGGCGAAAAAACGAAGTGAAACGGTCAAAAACCTGCGAAGAAAAGCCTTCGTTCTTAATGACTCAAAAAGCAATTTTGGACGAGTTTCCCGTAGGCATCTTGCCATAACCTAGGGTAGGTACGGTCGCACGTATGTACTCATATATCCATGCAGCACCGCGGCCGCTTCATACCAATCCCTTCGCTTCATATTTTACTTAGCAAATGAAGCAATACGAGCGTCAGGAACGGTCGTCCATTTGTGGGCGGGCGGGCGTGGTGGGCGTTCGGGTCGGTATGTTGTAGCTTGATAGGGCCCTTATAAGGGCACCTTCCTTGGAAAAGGCGCTACGCAGCGCCTGCTCAGGGTCGCGGAATTCCGTCCTGCCAGGCGTATTAATCCTACTCGTCTTGGAGACTTATCGTGCCAGCTGCCTTTATTATCTGTCAAAGGGTCCTCAGATGTAGTACCGTTCCACTTTCTCGGTTCGAATGTGAACACAAACTCCAGCCCCTTTCCGTGCACGTTTAAGCGCAGAATTTGACACGCTACTGCAGCTGCGGAACCATTCAGCTCGCACATGGAAAGGACCGCTCACAAAGTGCGAGTACAGTTTGTCTTCATGGGAATGATGTGGACCAGATATGAAAGGTGTTACGTTTGAAGCTGTTTAGGAGCGCCCGCTAGTCACAGGTCGTGTTTGTCCTTTCAGTCGTTTTCTGCTCTTTTACCTTCTTCTTCGTATTAGCGCTGATGTTCGCATTGTGCCTTTTCTTCTTGCACCGCTGCGTGCTTACTCATTACACAAAATCAGCTGCCGATGGAGGGACTCTAATGAGGGTGTTCTCCATGATTTTGTCCTTCTTTCCTGCTTAGCCACTTCGTTTCACAAATTCTTATTTGCACTCCACTGCCCTTGACTTGTAATCCCGCAATGTGCCCTTCGCTGAATCATAGCTGAAAAGCTCTTATGCTATCTGAGCGTGAATACGCTAGTTTGGACGTCGACAACCTATAAAAGTTTCTGTGAAACTCTCAGGTGACTTTGGAACGCCATATTGAGGCGGAAAACTACGCCATTTACCAGACACAGTTTCGGGGCTATAAGCAAAGGTCAGTTCGCAACTGCCTTTTTCCTGGTCCAATTAGGCCTCCTTCATTTGCTGAATCAAGTTGCCATACCATTGTTGGAACCATACACATTTGGACGATAAAAAGAACTTCTAACCTCCACATGGACCAGCCCGGAAAGTCACTGCAAATAGGAGATACGACATCCAGCGTGCCACCGATCTTTATTTGTTTATTTATTTAATATACGGTGTATGAGTGTGGAAAAATACCAACAGTCAACTAGCTAAAAGCCGAAATGATGTAAGCCAGGCTCCTAGGGAGCAAAGAAATAATAAAAAAATAAATAGGGTCGAGTAAATGTGGACATCCTTGATCGTACTTGCGTTAGAAAGTAGCAGCGCATGCAAGCATAACTTCTAAGGACTTGAGCAACGATCCACACCAGTTGGCTATGGCGCCCTCGTTCCAGCGGAAGTCATTGGGAACATGCCAGCACTTCAGGCACACGGGTATGACAAGGTTGGAACTGACATGGTGGATAGAAGCGGTAATAGAAAGAAACAAAAGAGCTTGCATGCCTTGAAAAAAATATCGAGCACAAGCATACGGAAAAAAATCAAATGTGGGACGGAATCGTGGCGAACACCCCTATGAACCGAAGCCGGCACCATATGGCGTACAGCGTGGATAAGACAAATGAAACAAAATAGAAAAAAATGCCATCCGCAGAGAGCTCTACAACACCATTAACATGGAGTTAACACAACAACATAAAACATGGAGTTAACACAACAACATAAAAATGTGGAACGGTCGCAACAGGAGGTGCTCTTTCTTTATACCAACCGATCGCCTTGACCTCACCCGAAAAAACATCTTAGTGTTTGCCATCTGAATTGGTCCCATTATAAGGAGTGAAGCGAGTCCGTAATACAGATCCTTCCTCAATCTGTTCTTGAACACCTTACCGTTTTCCAGATCTGAGCATGTGGCAGCTTGTCCAGCATCCTGGCCATACGACAGAAATAGGAGTTAAGATAAGTGAATAGAATCTCTTTCGAATTTCCATGAAGCTCGAAGCCAAAGCTTCCCTATTCTCTCACTACAGGGTCTAAAAACCCAGTATTTGCTAGGTTTTAGCCTCGTTTCACTTCTGAGGATGCGAAAACAAAGTGTGAGTTCATTGATTAGGCCTCCTGTCTTTGGTACTCAGTAGTCCTAACCATTCTAGTCCTCATACTTTGGCACGCTATTCGGTTTTGTTTTCGGGTGTACTCTAAGGTACACCAGTCTTGTGAAAGTCTGCTGTACCTTTCCACCTTGGCTATATCTCTCTTCAGGAAGGGATTCCAAATTTGAGAACAGTAGTTTACGTGTGGTAAGACGTATGCATTATACAGTCGGACCAGCGTTTTGGGTTCTTTAAGTTGAATGTTTCGAAAGATTAGGAAAAGCGCAGCGAATGCTTTTTTAACCACCTGCTCAATCTGTAAGGAAAATTTCAAGTCATTCTGTAACAAAACTCCAAGATCTTTGAGCTTACTGCAGCCTTCCAGAAAAGCCCCATTGATTTCATACCTCGGCGAAAAGTTATCCCCCAAGTGCAAAAGGGAACACTTGTTTAAGTTGATCGTCAAGCCCCAAGAGGCGGCCCACTCCGACATTTTCGCTAGGGATAGCCTAAATGCTGCTTGAACTTCACTCTTGTTGGTAGTATCGTATGCGGCATATATTTTTATGTCATCAGCATACATCTGAACCTTCACCTCGTGGGAAGTAGTAATGTAAGCAGGGAGGTCCAGTGTATACAGGGGGGCCAAAAAAAGTCATTTCCGGCCGAGTCACATATGAGCGAAGTTTTCGCAGCCCAGACAGAGGAAGTGGATATGAGTACCAGGGCGGAAGATACCCAAGATCTTCCTCTATAAGCAGGAGCCGGCTGCCGCCATTCACCTTCATGTACACCAAAATATGAAGTCATCTCCAGTCGCGGCCTGAGTGGAGAACGCCTTTGGAATTCACGTGGCCTCCAAACAGCTGCGGAACTTCTTGAATGGAATCACCCATGGATAGCTACCTGGAGACCAGTACTCTTGATCTGCAAGACCCCAACATCGAGCAGCTCCGGCAACGTCGCTACGGTCCAGGACATCATCTTCACCCCATTCACCAAGGCGCGGGTTGATGGTGTGGACCGGCCGTACCTGAATGGGAAGACCGATATTTTCTTTGTAGACCCCGACTGAAGGTGAGCGCTGGCGGTTACATCAAGTAACTCGAGAGGAATATCCTCCCTACATGTGGTCGCCCGTACCTTCTTGGAGACCTTGTGCTGCTACAGGTTTGGGTGCCACCACATGGAATCGAAGGGTTTTGGAAAAACTCCCGCCTACTTCGAATGGAAGGGCGTTTCGTACCTGATGAAGATGTAATATTGAAATATGTCCCCTGACCTGAACCCACTCAATTACCTAGTTCGGGCGGAGCTCAACAGGGTGGTCTACAGTGGCGGAGAAATCAACGATCTCGCTCAACTCCGGTACCCACTCACTTTCGCGCGGCCGAATCTCTCGATGGCGCTCCTCCAGAAGGCTGTGGCGGAGTATCATTATAGTATTTAATGTGCTCTTTAATATGGTAGTAAAAATGTCCGATAAAAATTTAATAAAGTGTAACTTATAGCGCCTTGAAAGTCATGGAGGCAAAATGACTTTTTTTTGCCCCCCTGTATACTAAAAAAAGCAACGGGGATAAAACGCTTCCCTGAGGGACACCACTTTGACAGTGTGTCTGTCAGAGAAGCTGTGACGAACCTTGACGGTCATGTATCCGTTGATTTAGAAAAGATCTCAGCCAATCTAGAAGCTGCCCAGAAATCCCCAGATGCTGCAATTTGGCTAGCAATCTACGGTGGCAGATCCCGTCAAATGCATTTGACAGGTTAACGAAGAATATGTCCACGGATTTTCCATTGTATAGGATTGCCAGTCAAAAAAGCTATCTAATAATGGTTTCCATGGGAGCCCCACTTAAGAAACATGGTGTTCTTTTGGAATCATGTTGAACTTCTCAAGCCAAATCCAGTATCTTGTCTCTGATTAGTCTCTCCATTAGCTTACTGGGAGCAGGCGTAATGCTTATCGGTCGAAAATCGGAGATGTTTGCAGCCTTGGAAGTTTTAGGGATGGCCCAAGGCTTCTCGCAAATCCGGCACTCACCAAGAATCATAGAAATGTTGAAAATATGCGTTAATGGCTGGCATAAGGATGAAGCACACTTTTTATATACTATCTGGGGGATTCCATCGTATGTTTCTGACGTGGAAGGTTCAATGCGTTCCAGCATCTTTCGGACATCTCTGGGTGAAAGAAGACACCCGAAAGTCTGCTTTCTATTTGTGGAATACCCTAACATCTGGTACGTTTTGCTCAGAGCCACTGCTGGAGAATACGGAAGCAAAATATTCGCCTAATATTCTAGGCTTTCTGCATATCTGAAATGTATTTCTTGCCCGAGGTATCAAGCAAGGTAGGTAACCCTGAATTATCTCTTGTTTTCTGTCTAATATAGTGGAAAAGCCGTTTCAAACTTGACCCTAGTCTGATTTGGAGCGGAACCGGATCCACACAAAATAAGATTGATGGACGGCAAAAATTTGACTCCTAGTATACTCTGCATGACTTTGAGTACTTCAACAGTCCATGTCGCGACGATGTTTGCAAAGTAACCACATTTCTCGTTAGTTGACCAACTGCAGCATCACCACACTGGGAGGCGTGGCTGCATACATACTTCAGCTGAACATGACAAAAAATGCGTTTTTCGCGAAGATGCCCGTTCGGGACAACTATCATTCTTTCTTGTGCTGACCAGAGGCATGATTGCAATTGTCCACAAACAGCAGCAGGCCACCAAAAGCGCAGTAGCCCGCAAGTCAGAATGAAGTATGTTCCGCCCGCCCTCTGTCGCCGGGATATGGATCATATGTCTCGTGTTTGTATCGCGTCAGCGTTTCATTTGTCCTTTTCGTCACTGTCTCCGGAGAAAGCTTAGGTTTTGATAGTCTCTTTGAAGCCCTTCTAACACCGGTCTCACCCTCATCTACATCTGATGAAATGAGGTGGGCGTCTTTACCCTCTGCTTTACGTCTACACTGTCTTGTCATTTAGACTGTGAAACAATCGAGTATTTTGCTTCTGACAGCTGTTCTTCAGCCACGTATGGTTTCTTGATATTGCCGCAGTTCGGCGGGGCGGGGTCAGGA